CACTGCAGCGAGGCCGAGGAACCACACGAGCTGTTCTCAGACCTGTCAGCAGAAGCACTGCAGCGAGGCCGAGGAACCACACGAGCTGTTCTCAGACCTGTCAGCAGAAGCACTGCAGCGAGGCCGAGGAACCACACGAGCTGTTCTCAGACCTGTCAGCAGAAGCACTGCAGCGAGGCCGAGGAACCACACGAGCTGTTCTCAGACCTGTCAGCAGAAGCACTGCAGCGAGGCCGAGGAACCACACGAGCTGTTCTCAGACCTGTCAGCAGAAGCACTGCAGCGAGGCCGAGGAACCCACACGAGCTGTTCCTCAGACCTGTCAGCAGAAGCACTGCAGCGAGGCCGAGGAACCACACGAGCTGTTCTCAGACCTGTCAGCAGAAGCACTGCAGCGAGGCCGAGGAACCACACGAGCTGTTCTCAGACCTGTCAGCAGAAGCACTGCAGCGAGGCCGAGGAACCACACGAGCTGTTCTCAGACCTGTCAGCAGAAGCACCTGCAGCGAGGCCGAGGAACCACACGAGCTGTTCTCAGACCTGTCAGCAGAAGCACTGCAGCGAGGCCGAGGAACCACACGAGCTGTTCTCAGACCTGTCAGCAGAAGCACTGCAGCGAGGCCGAGGAACCACACGAGCTGTTCTCAGACCTGTCAGCAGAAGCACTGCAGCGAGGCCGAGGAACCACACGAGCTGTTCTCAGACCTGTCAGCAGAAGCACTGCAGCGAGGCCGAGGAACCACACGAGCTGTTCTCAGACCTGTCAGCAGAAGCACCGCAGCGAGGCCGAGGAACCACACGAGCTGTTCTCAGACCTGTCAGCAGAAGCACTGCAGCGAGGCCGAGGAACCACACGAGCTGTTCTCAGACCTGTCAGCAGAAGCACTGCAGCGAGGCCGAGGAACCACACGAGCTGTTCTCAGACCTGTCAGCAGAAGCACCGCAGCGAGGCCGAGGAACCACACGAGCTGTTCTCAGACCTGTCAGCAGAAGCACTGCAGCGAGGCCGAGGAACCACACGAGCTGTTCTCAGACCTGTCAGCAGAAGCACCTGCAGCGAGGCCGAGGAACCACACGAGCTGTTCTCAGACCTGTCAGCAGAAGCACTGCAGCGAGGCCGAGGAACCACACGAGCTGTTCTCAGACCTGTCAGCAGAAGCACTGCAGCGAGGCCGAGGAACCACACGAGCTGTTCTCAGACCTGTCAGCAGAAGCACTGCAGCGAGGCCGAGGAACCACACGAGCTGTTCTCAGACCTGTCAGCAGAAGCACTGCAGCGAGGCCGAGGAACCACACGAGCTGTTCTCAGACCTGTCAGCAGAAGCACTGCAGCGAGGCCGAGGAACCACACGAGCTGTTCTCAGACCTGTCAGCAGAAGCACTGCAGCGAGGCCGAGGAACCACACGAGCTGTTCTCAGACCTGTCAGCAGAAGCACTGCAGCGAGGCCGAGGAACCACACGAGCTGTTCTCAGACCTGTCAGCAGAAGCACTGCAGCGAGGCCGAGGAACCACACGAGCTGTTCTCAGACCTGTCAGCAGAAGCACTGCAGCGAGGCCGAGGAACCACACGAGCTGTTCTCAGACCTGTCAGCAGAAGCACTGCAGCGAGGCCGAGGAACCACACGAGCTGTTCTCAGACCTGTCCGGCAGAAAGCACTGCAAAGCGAGGCCGGAGGAACCACACGAGCTGTTCTCAGACCTGTCAGCTGAAGACTGCAGCGAGGCCGAGGAACCACACGGCAGTTCTCAGACCTGTCAGCAGGAAGCACTGCAGCTAGGCGAGGAACCACACGAGGCTGTTCTCACAACCTGTCAGCAGAAGCACAGCAGCGAGGCGAGGAACCACACGAGCCGCAGCGAGGCCGAGGAACCACACGAGCTGTTCTCAGACCTGTCAACAGAAGCACCGCAGCGAGGCCGAGGAACCACACGAGCTGTTCTCAGACCTGTCAACAGAAGCACCGCAGCGAGGCCGAGGAACCACACGAGCTGTTCTCAGACCTGTCAGCAGAAGCACTGCAGCGAGGCCGAGGAACCACACGAGCTGTTCTCAGACCTGTCAGCAGAAGCACTGCAGCGAGGCCGAGGAACCACACGAGCTGTTCTCAGACCTGTCAGCAGAAGCACTGCAGCGAGGCCGAGGAACCACACGAGCTGTTCTCAGACCTGTCAACAGAAGCACTGCAGCGAGGCCGAGGAACCACACGAGCTGTTCTCAGACCTGTCAGCAGAAGCACTGCAGCGAGGCCGAGGAACCACACGAGCTGTTCTCAGACCTGTCAGCAGAAGCACTGCAGCGAGGCCGAGGAACCACACGAGCTGTTCTCAGACCTGTCAGCAGAAGCACTGCAGCGAGGCCGAGGAACCACACGAGCTGTTCTCAGACCTGTCAGCAGAAGCACCGCAGCGAGGCCGAGGAACCACACGAGCTGTTCTCAGACCTGTCAGCAGAAGCACTGCAGCGAGGCCGAGGAACCACACGAGCTGTTCTCAGACCTGTCAGCAGAAGCACTGCAGCGAGGCCGAGGAACCACACGAGCTGTTCTCAGACCTGTCAGCAGAAGCACTGCAGCGAGGCCGAGGAACCACACGAGCTGTTCTCAGACCTGTCAACAGAAGCACTGCAGCGAGGCCGAGGAACCACACGAGCTGTTCTCAGACCTGTCAACAGAAGCACTGCAGCGAGGCCGAGGAACCACACGAGCTGTTCTCAGACCTGTCAACAGAAGCACTGCAGCGAGGCCGAGGAACCACACGAGCTGTTCTCAGACCTGTCAGCAGAAGCACCGCAGCGAGGCCGAGGAACCACACGAGCTGTTCTCAGACCTGTCAACAGAAGCACTGCAGCGAGGCCGAGGAACCACACGAGCTGTTCTCAGACCTGTCAACAGAAGCACTGCAGCGAGGCCGAGGAACCACACGAGCTGTTCTCAGACCTGTCAGCAGAAGCACCGCAGCGAGGCCGAGGAACCACACGAGCTGTTCTCAGACCTGTCAGCAGAAGCACTGCAGCGAGGCCGAGGAACCACACGAGCTGTTCTCAGACCTGTCAACAGAAGCACTGCAGCGAGGCCGAGGAACCACACGAGCTGTTCTCAGACCTGTCAACAGAAGCACTGCAGCGAGGCCGAGGAACCACACGAGCTGTTCTCAGACCTGTCAGCAGAAGCACTGCAGCGAGGCCGAGGAACCACACGAGCTGTTCTCAGACCTGTCAGCAGAAGCACTGCAGCGAGGCCGAGGAACCACACGAGCTGTTCTCAGACCTGTCAGCAGAAGCACTGCAGCGAGGCCGAGGAACCACACGAGCTGTTCTCAGACCTGTCAGCAGAAGCACCGCAGCGAGGCCGAGGAACCACACGAGCTGTTCTCAGACCTGTCAACAGAAGCACTGCAGCGAGGCCGAGGAACCACACGAGCTGTTCTCAGACCTGTCAGCAGAAGCACTGCAGCGAGGCCGAGGAACCACACGAGCTGTTCTCAGACCTGTCAGCAGAAGCATCGCAGCGAGGCCGAGGAACCACACGAGCTGTTCTCAGACCTGTCAGCAGAAGCACTGCAGCGAGGCCGAGGAACCACACGAGCTGTTCTCAGACCTGTCAGCAGAAGCATCGCAGCGAGGCCGAGGAACCACACGAGCTGTTCTCAGACCTGTCAGCAGAAGCACCGCAGCGAGGCCGAGGAACCACACGAGCTGTTCTCAGACCTGTCAGCAGAAGCACCGCAGCGAGGCCGAGGAACCACACGAGCTGTTCTCAGACCTGTCAGCAGAAGCACCGCAGCGAGGCCGAGGAACCACACGAGCTGTTCTCAGACCTGTCAGCAGAAGCACTGCAGCGAGGCCGAGGAACCACACGAGCTGTTCTCAGACCTGTCAGCAGAAGCACTGCAGCGAGGCCGAGGAACCACACGAGCTGTTCTCAGACCTGTCAACAGAAGCACCGCAGCGAGGCCGAGGAACCACACGAGCTGTTCTCAGACCTGTCAGCAGAAGCACTGCAGCGAGGCCGAGGAACCACACGAGCTGTTCTCAGACCTGTCAGCAGAAGCACTGCAGCGAGGCCGAGGAACCACACGAGCTGTTCTCAGACCTGTCAGCAGAAGCACTGCAGCGAGGCCGAGGAACCACACGAGCTGTTCTCAGACCTGTCAGCAGAAGCACTGCAGCGAGGCCGAGGAACCACACGAGCTGTTCTCAGACCTGTCAACAGAAGCACTGCAGCGAGGCCGAGGAACCACACGAGCTGTTCTCAGACCTGTCAACAGAAGCACTGCAGCGAGGCCGAGGAACCACACGAGCTGTTCTCAGACCTGTCAGCAGAAGCACCGCAGCGAGGCCGAGGAACCACACGAGCTGTTCTCAGACCTGTCAGCAGAAGCACCGCAGCGAGGCCGAGGAACCACACGAGCTGTTCTCAGACCTGTCAACAGAAGCACTGCAGCGAGGCCGAGGAACCACACGAGCTGTTCTCAGACCTGTCAACAGAAGCACTGCAGCGAGGCCGAGGAACCACACGAGCTGTTCTCAGACCTGTCAGCAGAAGCACTGCAGCGAGGCCGAGGAACCACACGAGCTGTTCTCAGACCTGTCAACAGAAGCACTGCAGCGAGGCCGAGGAACCACACGAGCTGTTCTCAGACCTGTCAACAGAAGCACTGCAGCGAGGCCGAGGAACCACACGAGCTGTTCTCAGACCTGTCAGCAGAAGCACTGCAGCGAGGCCGAGGAACCACACGAGCTGTTCTCAGACCTGTCAGCAGAAGCACCGCAGCGAGGCCGAGGAACCACACGAGCTGTTCTCAGACCTGTCAACAGAAGCACTGCAGCGCGAGGAACCACACGAGACGGCACCTCTGTTTACAAAAGTCTGAGGGAGTGTGCGGAGAGCGAAGAGTTGTAGAGACGGGAAACACTTGTAAATTGTGTGTGTGTGTGTGTGTGTGTGTGTGTGTGTGTGTGTGTGTGTGTGTGTGTGTGTGTGTGTGTGCAGATCTTACCTCAAAATCTTCTGAGAAGCCGTGTTGGTTGTTGGAGTAGAGTTCTGATACATGCTTGATAAACTGTTTAACAGGGATGGCCTCCATATCGTCTGAAACAGAAACAAAGAAGAGATGCATGTTCGCTGCTGTTGTCCAGGAATTACCATCAGAGTGAAGGCAGTATGCCTGCTAAAAATATACAATATTTTGTAAATAAATAAAAATGGTTTACCAATAAATACAATTATTAATATAATTGTTATTCAATATTTTATACAATTATATAAAATTACACAATAACTTATATGCTGTTCCTTTTAATTCCATTTTAGATTTTCATTTTCAAATTGTGATTGGCACTGAGGGAATATTTTGCCATAGATTATATTTGCAAAAATATTATATTTTTTTATGCTGTGTCACATTTTTTAAAACTGCACTACAACAATAGATTTGACTATAAATTCTGGGAGCAATAGTAGCATACAAGTGTCCAGTGCTGGTACATCGATCCTTCTTAACGGCAGCACCTGTGCTTTATATGGTTTACTTGATGATAAGATAATCAACAACTCAATGTGTTTACTGTTCAACTTCAGTCACGGTGAACCCCCCCCCCCCCATGTGTTGTATCAGCGGCCAATGAGCTGCGGCTCAACATTCAAATACCGCTAGTGTTGCTGTTAGCTGTTAGCAGTTAGCAGTTAGCTGTTAGCAGTTAGCAGTCTGCAGCGCACTTTCAGAAAGCATCTGAAATCAACACCTAAGATAAGTGAACACTCTTTTACTCCATATCTCTGTGCATATTGACAGACCGCAGCAGCAGCATGACTCACATACTCACAGCAATGTCTGTAAATGTGTTGGCAGTAGCAAGTCTCTGCAGCAGATCTATTACGCCAAGACCAAATACATCAACATTGCTATATCCATTACCATGCCAATCTCTCTGAGAGTTGCCTTGACAAAACAGCATTTATTTGGTATATAAATCTTAACATTATAAATATCTCTACTATCACTTTTGATCAATTTAATCCTTTCTAAATAGAATTATTAATTTACTGACCCTAAACTTTTTAGTGTTTCATAATTTAATAATAGATTTTTTTACAACTGTTTTGTAACTCTTTTGGCGTAAGTCGGCTTGCGTACGCCCGTCTGCCGGAAGCTAGTTATTTTAGTCGATAAAGTTTTAAATATGGATATTTTTCTTACACGAACGCATCGCTTCACTTCAGAAGGCCTTTACTAACCCCGGAGACGTGTGGAGAACTTTAATCATGGATGGATGCACTTTGATGGACTTATACCCATTCACTCCCATTATATGGCTTGGAAGAGCCAGGACATTTTTTTAATATAAGTCCGATTGCATTCGTCTGAAAGAAGAGTGTCATATACACCTGGGATGGCTTCAGGGTGAGTAAACCTAATGTTCATCCTTGGGTGAACTATCCCTTTAACACTAATAAAGGTGGTTCAGCACCTTCTGTCTTTTTCCTAAAGTGTCTACAGCTGAATACTGCTAACAAACAAATTTTGGCATCCACTGACGCCAGAAACAAACTGGGAAATTCAGCCAGAAACTGAAGGCTCTATTTAGCAGGAAAGCGTCCATGTTTGAAAGGACAGTGAACTCAAAGCGCCACATGAGCCGGAGCCAGCGGAGAGAGAGCGGCTGCTGTCCACACTAAATGGATCTTTGTAAATACCGAGGCCAGTCCTCGCCAAGCTGGAACACAGATGCCTAAATTGGATTGAGGGCACTGTGCCACCGTTATTGTGAGTCGTGCCACCACACAACAATGAAAATTGGTTCCAATGAAGTGCTTATGGGAAAGCCCGAGCAAATCAATGGCTCTCGTTGCATTAAGATCTGGGTTCCACTACACTGACTAACCCGGACCTGGGACCTTCAGACCCTGGAAAATCACACACTGTGCACTTCTGTCCCACTGTGCTCTATACTAATTATCTACCCACACACACACACACACACACACACACACACACACACACACACACACACACACACACACACACACACACACACACACACACACACACACACACACACACACACACACACACACACACACACACACACACACACACACACACACACACACACACAATCAGATTCTTGGCTCCTAACCTTAATAGCTAATGTGTATGCATGTAAAAGTGTGTGTGAACATGCAGAGGGACCAGATAAACAACACTTTTCTTCTCTGGTAAGTGCACAGACCCTGAACTAAACAGCTCTCTCAAAACATCTACTGTTTCTATTTTCAACAAACTCTTCAATGTGGCTCACACTCATCCAATCCAGCTTACAGTAAACATGACCAGTCATTTCAGAAAACCTTTTCTTAAAAACAGGAACTCCATTCCAAAATCCCTGACCTCCGAGTGTCATGGGTACAGCAGCTAGACCTATGTAGCTACAGAGAAGAGTCAATTATAATCAACCACCATATCGGTATCGGCTGATATATGTTCATTTTTTAAGGTATCATTATCGGTCCGATATATTAAAGTCGATTAATAATGATTATGTCCTTCAGCTGAGACACTTCAGATGCACACTGTTTGCCATGATGGGTTTGAATTGCTTGAAATATGATTGGAATCACTTCAAAAAAGGTAAATGCAGTTAAGTACAACATGTGCAGCACAAGTCTATAATTGCACATAATTGTGTGCATGGGACGTGGCAGGTGAGACTTTTGTTTTTGTAATCATAAAGTATATTTTCATATATCACAAATGATATAAAGAATTATCGGTATTGGCCAAAATGTTCATTTCGGTGCATTCCTAGCGCATACATGTGCAAAACACACTGACAAGGGTGGTGAGGATGGTTGCCAGGGTCTGTTGCGAGTGGTTGCTAGGACATTAATAGGGCGTCGTGGATGGTTTCCAGGGTGTTGATAAGGTGTTGCGAGTGGTTGCTAGGACATTAATAAGGAGTCGTGGATGGTTTCCAGGGTGTTGATAAGGTGTTGCGAGTGGTTGCTAGGACATTAATAAGGAGTCGTGGATGGTTTCCAGGGTGTTGATAAGGTGTTGCGAGTGGTTGCTAGGACATTAATAGGGAGTCGTGGATGGTTTCCAGTGTATTGATAAGGTGTTGCGAGTGGTTGCTAGGACATTAATAGGGCGTTGTGGATGGTTTCCAGGGTGTTGATAAGGTGTTGCGAGTGGTTGCTAGGACATTAATAGGGAGTCGTGGATGGTTTCCAGGGTGTTGATAAGGTGTTGCGAGTGGTTGCTAGGACATTAATAGGGCGTCGTGGATGGTTTCCAGAGTAGTGATAAGGTGTTGTGAGTGGTTGCTAAGACATTATTAGGGAGTCGTGGATGGTTTCCAGGGTGTTGATAAGGTGTTGCGAGTGGTTGCTAGGACATTAATAGGGCGTCGTGGATGGTTTCCAGGGTGTTGATAAGGTGTTGCGAGTGGTTGCTAAGAAATTATTAGGGAGTCGTGGATGGTTTCCAGGGTGTTGATAAGGTGTTGTGAGTGGTTGCTAGGACATTAATAGGGAGTCGTGGATGGTTTCCAGGGTGTTGATAAGGTGTTGCGAGTGGATGCTAGGACATTAATAGGGAGTCGTGGATGGTTTCCAGGGTGTTGATAAGGTGTTGCGAGTGGTTGCTAGGACATTAATAAGGAGTCGTGGATGGTTTCCGGGGTGTTGATAAGGTGTTGCGAGTGGTTGCTAGGACATTAATAGGGCGTTGTGGATGGTGTCCAGGGTGTTGATAAGGTGTTGCGAGTGGTTGCTAGGACATTAATAGGGCGTCGTGGATGGTTTCCAGGGTGTTGATAAGGTGTTGCGAGTGGTTGCTAGGACATTAATAGGGCGTCGTGGATGGTTTCCAGGGTGTTGATAAGGTGTTGCGAGTGGTTGCTAGAACATTAATAGGGAGTCGTGGATGGTTTCCAGGGTGTTGATAAGGTGTTTTGAGTGGTTGCTAGGACATTAATAGGGAGTCGTGGATGGTTTCCAGGGTGTTGATAAGATGTTGCGAGTGGATGCTAGGACATTAATAGGGAGTCGTGGATGGTTTCCAGGGTGTTGATAAGGTGTTGCGAGTGGTTGCTAGGACATTAATAAGGAGTCGTGGATGGTTTCCAGGGTGTTGATAAGGTGTTGCGAGTGGTTGCTAGGACATTAATAGGGAGTCGTGGATGGTTTCCAGTGTATTGATAAGGTGTTGCGAGTGGTTGCTAGGACATTAATAGGGCGTTGTGGATGGTTTCCAGGGTGTTGATAAGGTGTTGCGAGTGGTTGCTAGGACATTAATAGGGAGTCGTGGATGGTTTCCAGGGTGTTGATAAGGTGTTGCGAGTGGTTGCTAGGACATTAATAGGGCGTCGTGGATGGTTTCCAGAGTATTGATAAGGTGTTGTGAGTGGTTGCTAAGACATTATTAGGGAGTCGTGGATGGTTTCCAGGGTGTTGATAAGGTGTTGCGAGTGGTTGCTAGGACATTAATAGGGCGTCGTGGATGGTTTCCAGGGTGTTGATAAGGTGTTGCGAGTGGTTGCTAAGAAATTATTAGGGAGTCGTGGATGGTTTCCAGGGTGTTGATAAGGTGTTGTGAGTGGTTGCTAGGACATTAATAGGGAGTCGTGGATGGTTTCCAGGGTGTTGATAAGGTGTTGCGAGTGGATGCTAGGACATTAATAGGGAGTCGTGGATGGTTTCCAGGGTGTTGATAAGGTGTTGCGAGTGGTTGCTAGGACATTAATAAGGAGTCGTGGATGGTTTCCGGGGTGTTGATAAGGTGTTGCGAGTGGTTGCTAGGACATTAATAGGGCGTTGTGGATGGTGTCCAGGGTGTTGATAAGGTGTTGCGAGTGGTTGCTAGGACATTAATAGGGCGTCGTGGATGGTTTCCAGGGTGTTGATAAGGTGTTGCGAGTGGTTGCTAGGACATTAATAGGGCGTCGTGGATGGTTTCCAGGGTGTTGATAAGGTGTTGCGAGTGGTTGCTAGAACATTAATAGGGAGTCGTGGATGGTTTCCAGGGTGTTGATAAGGTGTTTTGAGTGGTTGCTAGGACATTAATAGGGAGTCGTGGATGGTTTCCAGGG